GTGGTACCATGCCAATCGAAAGAGACCCATAGAGGGACGAGTGAGGATTTGTGGGTCTCTGATCAGGGCTACTCACGGTGCACATGCCTGAAGACCCCTCCTTACAGGGTGGGTTTCGCCCGGAGTTGGTAGTCACAGACACAGTGACCGGCCAGTGCATATGAGTCAAAGTCATATGGCAGAGCCGCATTACCAAGCTAGCATCAGCGCGAGAATGTGGGCTCGGGCCAGGGCCTGGACGATGAGTCGCGCGGTGGGGACGCTGGCGTGGGAGCCCATGAAGGATGACGATCCTGCCTGCACCCCCATTGCAGATCCTAAATGAGATTGCGTTGCACCGCGGCCTGCAGCACCGCCACATCGTGAGTTTCTTGCATCATTTTGAGGATGCAGTCAACATATACATTTTCTTGGAGCTCCGCAGCAAAAAGCTGGAGGATGCCGATTGTGGGTGAGGGGTCAAGGAGCCATAAGATCCAAAGATGGAGATCCTTTCTCTTCGTCACGGAACAGGGTTGAGGGAGGGCCAGGGAGGGCGGTCCAGGGACTGAGGCGGTGGTTCTCTGTAGTCCCTGGCCCACATCTGGAAGGCCCGGCACACCCTGTTGGAGCCAGAAGTGCGCTACTACCTGCGGCAGATCCCTTTCGGGACTCAAGTACTTGCACCAGCGAGGCATCTTGCACCGAGACCTCAAGCTGGGTGAGACTCCTGGGCCAGGGGGCAGGGGTGGGGTGGGGGTGGGGAGGCTTAGAAAGGAGTGTGACACACCTCTCTGCCCCCTTACAGGAAATTTTTTTATTACTGAGAACATGGAACTGAAGATGGGGGATTTTGGGCTGGCAACCCGGTTGGAGCCCCCAGAGCATAGGAAGAAGTGAGTGTTTCAGGGGGTGGCACAGTGAGTGTGTGACACAGATGACTGCCTGACAGGCAGCACCTCTGTGGGAAGCAGGATGATTGCCTGGTGTGTGTGTGTGTGTGTGTGTGTGTGTGTGTGGCAGATGGGGAAGATGATGGGCTGTTTGTGTGTGAAGGTGGAGGTGGCAGCCTGGGTTGCTGGGACTGGTGGAGAGGCTGAGGGTCCTATGGGTGCCTGAGTCCCTGAGACAGATCGGGATATAAGGATTCTTGGAGCTGTATGACCGATCTTGTGTGGATGGGGGCAGGTGACACAGTATTGGGTGTGTGAGACAGAGAGTGTGGGAATGGCAGGAGATGACACCCTGTATGTAAGAAGACGCTGCTGTGGCCATGACTGGGTGTGAGGGACACAGACAGCATGTGTGGCAGATGAGTGTTTATGGGGGATGTGACAGCTGGTGTTGGTGTGTGTATGTGGCACAGACTGTAGGAGGTGACAGCCTGTATGGGTGTCTGACAGATGGGAGTGGGGGAAGGAGGAAGGGATCAGTGATGGACCCTCTGTTGACCCTGGAGAAGGGGGCTGGGTTGGGGGCCAGGCCCTCCCTCCCTCCGTCCTACAGAGCAGCTGAGCAGCTGGGCCAGGCAGGTGGGCGGGGACTCAGCTGCCATCCCCAGCATCCATTGTCCCAGGACAAGCAGGAGTTCTCTGGCCTTTGGTGACAGGCAGCTGCTTTGTCTGGACTCACAGTGGGGGTGGGGGTGGGGCGAGGGCTCGCTAGGCTGGGCCTAAACCCTCCCCTCTCCTCCCCTTTCCAGGACCATCTGTGGCACCCCTAACTACGTGGCTCCGGAAGTGCTGCAGAGACAGGGTCACGGCCCAGAGGCAGATGTGTGGTCCCTGGGCTGTGTCATGTGAGTCCCGGGTCATCTGCACACAGATGGGTGCACGGGTGCGGCATACCTCCCACTTGACTCCTGACCCCTTATCCGCCCACAGGTACACACTGCTATGTGGGAGCCCCCCCTTTGAGACAGTCGACCTGAAGGAGACGTACCGCTGCATCAAACAGGTTCACTACACGCTGCCCGCCAGCCTCTCACTGCCTGCCCGGCAGCTCCTGGCTGCCATCCTTCGAGCCTCGCCCCAGGACCGCCCCTCAATTGACCAGATCCTGCGCCATGACTTCTTTACCAAGGTCTGTGGCTACAGACCCCTACGTCCAGTTCCCACATCCCCAGGGGATTAAAGGGGGGCAGGTGCAGGACCCTCTCTTTTCTGCTCACATGGCTCCACTCCTCAGGGCTACACCCCCGACCGGCTCCCTATCAACAGCTGCGTGACAGTCCCAGACCTGGTACCCCTTAACCCAGCTAGGATTCTGTTTGTCAAAGTTACCAAGAGCCTCTTTGGCAGGAAGAAGAACAAGAGTGAGTCTGGGATGCCAGTGGTTTTGAGGGTACAGAGTGGCGGGGGGTGGGGAGGGGCTGTTACATACACATATGGTGGTGGGGTGAGTACCTGGGAGCCCCTGGGGAGAGCGTGTGTTACATAGGCTGTATCATCCCTGTGGGAAGCAGGATACTGAGGGCTCTATCTGCCCCCATCCAGGTAAGAACCATCCCGAGGAGCGGGACGAGGTTTCCTGTTTGGTGAGCGGCCTCACTCGGACATCCATTGCCCATCAGGATGCCAAGCCTGAGGTGAGGTGCCCACACGGGCAAGGGTTCCCTGACTCACCCCACCCTAGCAGCTGCGGGAAGCTCGGGATAAAAGAGGCTGGTGAAGCATCTAGCCTCGTGGTGGCCTAATTAGCTGTGTCTCATTAGCCAGGCGGGGCTGACCTGGGCTGACCTGGGGTGACCTCGGTGCCAGGGCAGGGCTGAGCCATGGACTCTCAAAGATTTGGATTTTGCCCTGGCCAATTTGGCTCAGTGGATAGAGCGTCGGCCTGTGGGCTGAAGGGTCCCGGGTTCAATTCCAGTCAAGGGCATGTGCCTTGGTTGCGGGCACATCCCCAGTAGCGGGTGTGCAGCTGATCAATGTTTCTCTCTCATTGATGTTTCTAGCTCTCTATCCCTCTCCCTTCCTCTCTGTAAAAAAATCAATAAAATATATTTTAAAAAAAAGATTTGGATTTCAGGGCCTATCTCACCACTCCTTTCCTCTACCCAATCCTCCAGGCTCCAGCAGCTTCTGGTCCAGCCCCCCTCAGCCTGGTAGAGACAGCGCCCGAAGACAGCTCACCCCGTGGGACACTGGCGAGTAGCGGAGATGGTGAGCAGCCAGGAGAATGAGAGGTGCTAGCGGTTACTGGGCTGAAACCAGGGACCAGAGGGGAGGAGTGAGGAGGAGGACATGGCCTGGGTCCTAGGGGACT